TGTCGCCTTTCTTGAAGCACAAGACCACCGCACTTCTGCTCCACGCCTCTGGTGTAGTGCCAGCACGGAGAATAGAATTAAAGAGTTTCTGAAGGACTTCAAGTACGGTTATCCATCCGCTTTAAGAAGCTCCTCTGTAATCCTATCCTCGCCTGTGGCCTTGCCGTTTTTATAGTGCTGGAAAGCCATTCTAATCTCAGTCACTGACGTCCGGGATATCATCGGAATAGTGTCGGATAAGACTTGCTCTTGGATCGTTACTCAGACTTGGCAGTGGCTCCAACGGTGATGTGTACACAGTGGCGTAGCTACCCAGGGACTAGGCGGGGCAGTGCCCCCCTAAGCTAAAGCCGCCCCTCAGCCTCCAAGAAAGAAATTCGAAAAATTATGTACTATCCTAGTTGTATAAAGAATTTTCGAGTTTTAATTTTTTGGCCCCTGACTGCGAACGGCTCGAATTGAAATCACAAAATTACTCCCACTTCCAGAACATTGTTAAAGATAATTGTCTACTTCGTCTTATTGTCTTTTTTATATAGAAGAAAGGGACAAACGAGTATGCGGCTCACCTGATGGCAAGTCTCGACCACCGCCTATTAACAAATACAACACCAGGGGAATAGCAGGCGCGTTGCCGGCTTTTAAAAAAGGATTAAGCTCGTTTCTTGAAGCTCCCTAAGTCGTATAGGACCGTCAGTAGTGGACCGCCAAACATTCCGATGATGTGGATTTGTGAAATGCGTTAATGAAATTTTGTGGCTGGAATTAATCCAAACAATTCCTCTGAACACTCCCAGTGGTAAATGCGACAGAAAATGTAAAGGGATGCAACATCTCTTCGTCTCGTCTTCATCGGTCATCGACGTTTCGAGCCGCTCTGCGCTGGATACGGTCAAGTGGAAGGAGTTGGTACTAGGGAGCCCCGGCGCAGGGATGAGAACAGTATTCCATGTTAGGCCGAACCTGCCCCTCGTAAAGTTGCAATACTGTCCCGCTCTGCTGAGCACCCCAAGCTTTTTAGGAGGCCAATTCAGCCTTCCCTTCCAAGTGACCACGAAACTGCACGTTATTCGATATGTCAACGCCGAAGATTACGATACTAGTTGAGGTAACAAGGGCAGTGCCCTGAAATTGATGTATTACGACAAAGGGGTTCTTTTTAGTGGTAAACGCGCAAACTTGTGTCTTCGGGTATTGAACTTAATTAGATTTAGTCGCCCCAATCCGAGACCATATCCGGCAAAGACTCGACAAGTTTGTTCCGGTTCCGAGAAATATAGGCACAGTCGGTGTATAAAGCATCACCAGTGCACATTACAGGTTTGCAACATATTATTGATAAGCAGAAGAAACGTAGGTGATAGCACGTAGCCTTGTGGAATACCAGCATAAATAGATATGTAAATGGAGCATACACCTTCTACTATGATTTTGTTGCTCAAATCTGCAAGAAAACTGCTGATCCAGTTGCACAAATTCTCGGGAATCCTATAGGAAGGGATTTTCGAAAGAAGCGCTTTGAACCAAACCCGATCGAAGGCCTTCGCTATGTCCAAACTAATGGCCAAGATTTCCCTCTCTGCCTCTGCCCATTTATGAGTCAGGTAATCCAGAAGATCACCAGCTAAGCAACCCCGACGGAAATCGTACTGGTGGTCACTTTTTAGTTGGCGATCCTCAAACTCATGAGCTGGCAATTCACAATGGTTTTAATTATTTTGGAGAACAAGTTCGATAGGTCTTAGCGGTCGATTTTCGGTAATTTTTTAGGGATCTAGTGCACTAAAGCTGTCCTTCTTTGAGTTCGGGACTACGCCTAGGGAGAAAGAGTTTTAGAAAATACAGGTTGCGACCGGTACCAACTAGGGAGCAGACGTCTTCAGCACAATGGGAGGAACTCCATCAGGCCTACTAGACTTGACGTCTAGGGAGAGTAGTGCTATTCGCACTGATCGCTGTGTAAACCCTATCGTACCGACGTGAAAGCGAAATTATACTCTTCTTTTTAAGAGCGCTGGTAAAGCACTCCTATTATAGCGCGCTGCATTTTACAGGCGCGACCAAACCAGGCACCACAGATGATAGAATAATAAGTCCCATTCCCTGAAGTACCACATCAGTGACAGAATGCCCCTGTCCTCAAAGGAAGTATGCAAAAAAAGACCGCATCCTATCCCAATCGGCCGACCTATAGTGCCAACGTATAGTATACGGCGGCGATCTGCAGAACGCAACCGCGATGGAAGTGAGTGGCACCATAGTCCGGATCAGACAATGGTGCAATGAGCCAAGAGCGACGCCCCTCTTGGCTCACTGCACCATTGTCTGATCCGAAGACGAAGACCAGATATCCGTCCGGATGAGAGGTTAGCAGAAGGTCCAACAGCGAAGGTGCAAAATCCTCCACATCTAGAATCCGCGTAGGTGAAGTATTAACCATTTGTGTCGCGAACAATATGCCAAGGCAAAGTTATAAACCGATCTTTCCGCATAATCGGTTAAACGAGAACAAAGCCATTCAGCGTGGTAGCCGTAAAAACTACCAAGTATCATGATCTCTGCAGACGGGACATGTTGTAGCACGGAGTCTGCAGCGATTTGGACGTGGTGGATGAGTTGGTGCGTGTCGGCATAACCTATAGAGGCACCCGTAGACGCGAGGATGGTCATCGCTGTACTTACAGACTGACCAGACGTCGAGAACAGATGTCCTCTCTGACGTATACGCAAACTCCAATCCGAGGCACAAAGATGTTATAATTTGTACCCCGGATAGGAGAGAAGTATCGACCGGAGAGAACACTTGCGCCTCGGTTAGAGCAAGGACGGCTTCGCCATCTTCAGATGGTACCTAGTGGACTTCGTTAACGTTTGACTTAAATCCCCTGATGTTGCAGAAATTCACGGATAGTGGTCACCTTTGTCTTATTGCTCTACTGGCCACGAGCAGATTAGTCTTGAACGGAATTCTCCCATCCCCTCCCCAAGATAAGCGAGGCAGCCTGAGCAGCCGCTCATTTTAATTACACTACCATGTCAAGGGCGAGAGGCTTAGGCCTTCAACCACCTGCACTTAACAGGCGAAGTAAACTTCTACTTCACGCTGGTTATCTGTAAGGTCGTGGGTCTCCTTAGTTCGAGCCGGTCCACCCATTCATTACAATCATTCATTGCAGCTCCTCATTTCATGTCTTACCAGGTCGTCACTCCATCTAGTCTGGCACACCTGTGCGACAGCGTGGCTCTTCCACTGTTATGTTGTCTGCCTATATTATTAACTGTAATCTACTTCGTTATTGTTTATGCGTTACACAATACTTAGTAGTAAGTAGCTTTGCTTTATTATGACCTGCAGTGGTCGACAAGGAGCTGATGGTGAATTAGTTTTGCCCCTTTAAAGTATTTAGTTTAGTTTAAATAGGGTCCCAATTAAATTTTTGTCCCGGGGCCCTTGCTTACATAACTACGCCATTGTGTTTACAGCTGCCCATAGAACCTCTCAATCTCACTCAGATACTCAGGTGTCCCGAAACGACGCTCCCACACTCGCTCTGCAGCTTCTACAGTTGGATATTTCTGGCAGACAGATTTCTAGCAAAGACTTTGGAGCCCTGGTTCCGCTCGATTGCTTCTTCAATACGAGCAGTATTAAAGTCACGTAAGTCCCGCCGCATGCATTTGGAGGTCTGTCTATTCAGTTGCCTCTGTGCTGTCAAATCTACTGAAGATTGCAGCTTCATTTCCCGTCTAACAGCCATGAGATTAAGAGTGTGATCGGAGAGTTTTGTGTTCTTCTGCGGCGGGTCTTGCAAAACTTAGCTCCGACCGTCCACTGCATTGCAGTTTTCTAGGCACTGAAAACGGTTTTGTAGCTGGAGCTGAAAGGTTTCGGGACTTTGGATTAGAGCACGAGGGGGACGGAGCGTTGACTTCATTAGACGTGACTTTTCCAATTTAACGTTTAGGTTCAGTGTGCCTCTCACCATTCGGAGACCGCTGCCGGTTTTCACCCTCGCGATCACTGAGACATCACTGAACAGATGTCGTCTGGTCGTCATAATGAAGTCAATCTCATTTATTGTCGAACCGTCGAGGCTCGACCAGGTCCACTTCCTGTGGGGCCGCTTCTGGAAGAAAGAGTTCATCATAAAGAGTCCCTCTTTCTCCATGAAGTCGGCCAGCTGCTGGCCCCTTGGGTTCCGTTGCCCTATTCCAAATTTTCCTACTTTCAGCTCACCGTTCTCTCTTGTGCCTAGTTTTGCTTTGAAGTCTCCCATTAACACCGTATTGTGAGTTTTGGAGGAATGCATGGTTCTAGAAGTCTAGGTCTAGGGTAAGAATACCCACTACCCCATATCTTCCCGTACGTGTCGTAAGAAGCGACAGAGGGAAACTGAGGCAGAAGATGGGTAGCAGCATCTTTCTGATAACAGCAAAACAACAATAAAAAAGTGCGGTTGCCAACCCGCTCGCCAAGCATGGCAACTATGGCATATGTGATTGCATGATGATTAAAGTTACGAAGAAAAGGATATAGTATGTAAGTAAATTTTTATTTTAATTAATGGTAAACAAGTGTGAACAAAACTAAACTGTATTTTAATACCAATCGATCTTCGAGAAGTTCTCCTCTATAAAAGTTAAGTGTCAATAAGAACCAGCGTATGTAGCTGGTTCTAACTAATTACATATGCCGAGATATATTTTACATATTAAGTACTATTATGTTTGTACAAGCGACAATAATTATACACGTCGCGACACGTAAGTCTAGCTCTGAACAAAACGTGGAGGGGACGCGCACGAATTGAATTGCACGAATGCGACTTAAGAGCCAATTAGCACGTGTGGACGATACGCACGAGCCAATCAGCGCGACTTATGAGTAATAACGGTCACTGCTAGACTTTCGTGCCCGCGCCTATACCTATAATAGTAGGTACAACCATATGTTATGTTCGCTAATATGAAAAAACAAGACCGATAACTATTAACAACAATCATGAACTGTTTAATGAACAGTCTAAAAAGTTTTGAGATAAATCTCCACCCTTTTGTTTTTTATTTGCAATTCTTGACCCGAATTGCAGAGCTCTTTTTGGAAATGTCACCACATTCTTTAATCCTATATTGAGAGCCACAAGCCTTAACATTAGTTTATCTCCAATTCCACAATCCAGTGATTCGCTAGGATAACACCTGAAATAAAAAACCTTATTAACAAGTATATCATTACTAATAATAATACTTAAAACAATCTTAATTTTGTGTCATTAGTACTTTTCTTATGATACAATTCAATAAACAACCTACATTTGTTTATTAGTTTTCAGGCCGTAGGTTTTGGCAGTTTATATCCGCTATATTTATTTAGCGTCGCAATATAATCTATGTTACTCACGCAATTATTTAAATCGATCGAGATACATTTGTTAAAATTCGACTAATAAGGCCTTACTAAGGCTACTGTCCCCTGACGTTAATGAGGCACCACTAAGAACAAGGTGAAATATTTGAGTGCTTCATTACCAGAAAGGTATAGCGCGTGGCTTTACTCTAAATACTTGAGCACCTTAATAAAATCTTTGGATGCTGTAAATATGCGACATTTTGCATTCTGATAATGCTTATTAGCATAATATTTTGTAGATAGTCACAATTAGGGGTTTTCTGATTGTAACTTCGGTAACTAAATATGTTTATGTTTGTGCAATGCCTTGTGCAAAAAAAAGTAAGTCAGATAGTACAGTAGGTGTATTTTGTTTAAAATTGAGTGCAGGTTTAAAACCAATTATGAGTGTAATACATTTTAAACATAGACGTCTCATTGACGGAAGTTAAGCTATAGATCATGCAGTGACTGCAGCCAATTATTATTCCTCCAAGTGAAGTTATTTGCAATTAAACTTAACTGTAAACTAACAATGATAGTTCTGGATTACCTTAACCATGGTTTCAAATTTAAAACAAAATCAATGAAATCTTCATCCAAATATGGCATTCTTGGCTGACGACCATGATCACATATAACTCTGTTGTCTCGCGCAAGGTTTCTAAACGATATTCTATTCCAGTCCAGCTGTAGTTCTTTGGCCAATCCTAACCAACCTTGCCTTTGTAATGCTTTTCTGTGCCTTAGATACCCTCCAAATAACTCATCTGCCCCCGATCCTAGTAGTAGTACCTGTAAACATATTGTGTTAATATATAATATCGAGAACCCAACAAATCAGGACTGAAGTGGGCCAGTCATATAACTATAGCCATAGCCAGAGCAAAAATATTCTAGTGGCTACTACTGTAAGTAGTCTGAACAACATCACCACCACCACATGGTTATTAGGGTTCCGTACCTCAAAAGGAAAAAACGGAATCCTTATAGGATCACTTTGTTGTCCGTCCGTCTGTCTGTCTGTCTGTCAAGACCCTTTTTCTCAGGAACGCGTGGAGGTATCAAGCTGAAATTCGTATCAAATACTCAAGTCTACTGTCCCTTAGAGCTGTGAAAAAATCAAACTTCTAAGCCAACGCAATCAAAAGATACAGCCGTTTATGCCGTAAATTTTCGACATTCGCAAGGGATTCAAAACCTACAGGGTACTTCCCGTGAACTCAGAATCTTCAAATTTGGTACGAAGCAACGTTTTATAGTACAGATAAAGGAAAAATTGCGAAAAGCATAAATTTTTAGTTACATCATATAATAAAAATATTTTTAATAATTTTAAACTTATATACCTAAGGATTTGTTCGGAACCCTCGGTGCGCGAGTCCGACTCGCACTTGGCCGGTTTTTCTATATTATTATCGATATCCAATGCAATTAGACTACAAGTAATACTTATCAAACATTTATTTCTTGTTATGTCCCCTACAGGATAAGAAAATAGCTATACTTTTTCAGAAAGTTAAGAGAAATTAAATAGCCCTTTCATAACGCTGAGGTTATTAAAAAATTCTAGGTGATAAAATTAACAACCTTACCCTGCAAGATGAATAGTCAGAGTCTTGTCCTCTAGCTGCAAACCATAATGCTGTTCCCAGGCTTTCATCCAAAATAGTATTTCTTGGAAACACTAGATCTGCAATGGTTGATTTTTGGATATTTTCCAAATCTTCTTTTGGTACATTTACTTCTTTGAACACCCACTGCCTGTTAAATGCTTTTAATCAGTTTTACTTTTAATAATAATTTTATACTATACTCATAGATATTAGATAATATAATATACATAAACACAACATACATACATGATAATTAAAATGTACAAAAAACAGGTTTCTGAATTAAGACTTAAACAATTGCAATATAGAAAACATTTATATTTATGTTACTGCCATGTGGATATGAATGCCTTATTTTCTGAAGTAACATGAAAAGGAAATTTTGAATAACTTATAACTTTTATTATAAATTGTATTTCATATTTTTCATAGAGCTTTGAATTTAGTATTCATGATCAAGTATTTTACATTACTTCATTACATGCATGACTTTAATTTGACACACAGTACACTAGACGACATATTAAGTCTTCCCATAAATTATGAATTTTTTTTGGGTTATTCTGGTTCCCTGGCAACATAATTTATGACTATTTTATGAGCTTCAATAAATTTTCTAAAAATTAGCTTTTATACATGCAAGCATAAATAATTAATAAGTTCAGTTATATTTTTCTTAGTAGTGTCAATTAATTCTTAACTAGACACTACTAAAATAAAATTGTATTGCATTCATCAATTCCACTATAATAACAATGGTGATGTTAGTAATCAAGTCCTAAACATTATATAATGAAGCACAATCCAATCATGGATATTTTCCATATTAACTAGGTCACAATTTGGTATAACATTTCTCTTTCATTTAAGCATTACCAATACCAGTAAATAAAATTAGTTTTTCAATTATTTTTCCTAGTCAGACTTTAAAATTATTTAAGATACACAGAACAGTATGTAATTACCTTGTGGTACAGATACTTTTAAGTTCATCATAAGACTGTCTACCCGTTATTCGGTCAGGTACATCAAAAGAGGAATTGTTACTTATATTAAATGCAACATTAATTAAATCTATTGGTTGCTCTTTGTCCACATATTTATCCGCCAATAAGGCCAGAATTGTACAATCTAAGCCGCCAGAAAATAAAATTCCCACTGTGCAGTGCTTACACTTTGTGACTTTTAATTTGATACAATTTTTACATTTGTTTGGTTGTGTTTCCAGACGGATTTTAACACTATTTTCCAACAGTTTCGTGACATTTTGAACAACTTGTTTTATTAAAGGAATTTTTATTATATTTTTCATTATTGACAATTTACAACCATTGTCAATTACTGCTGACTCAATAGCTTTAATAAAATCATCCTGTAAAATAAATATGAATAGGGTTAATGGTAGCTGGTAATAATAAATAAGTAATGTAATAATCCAGCGGTTGCTACACTTGCGTGAAATTACATATTACTTTCCAGATTTTATTACTTTCTAAACTTTAGGCAAACTTTGATATATAATAATTTATAGCTTATTATGTTAAATCATAATACTCACACATTAATTAAAAAAGACCCAGGACCCATTTATTATTAATTTCATAATAAAACATATTATACTTCTACAATAAAACAAAACCTTAATCCCCTGATGTGTTTATTAGGGAACATGCAGACAACATTTTATTAAAATATCTTTAATTACAATTGAATGTTTTTTTTAATGTAAAAATGAAAATTTTTAGAAAACATTGCAATTCTTATGTATCAAGACAATTTGATTCAATCGCTTGAAAAATTCATTTTCTGTGTAGTTAAAACATGTCAAAACCTTTTTTTTATAGGATGAGGGTGACAAACGAGCACACAGTCCACCTGATGGTAAGTGGTTGCTGCGGCCCATAGACATCTACATCTATCTTCGATTACGAATCACAATGCAGATTCGTTGTCACCCGTGAGGACTAAAATGGAATGCCTTGTTTCCAGTAAAAAGAGGTCTTCGGATCTCTACACTCACCATATGAAACACAGCAGCATTAAGTTTCTATTTTACGCTGGTAATCTGTGAGAGCGTGGTCCTTCCCAGGTCGAGCCAACCCATTTGTGCTACAACTATACCAGTAATATAGCTGCAGCATGGCTCTACCACGTAAAACCTCAACTATGGGATAAATTTCACCTAAATATTTTTTTAGATTGTTAGTAACACTTTCATATACTGTCATACAATAAAGCTGATAACAACTTTCAAATTTAATGTATTTTATTATTTTATTACACCAAGAGAGCAGGTCACGAGTGTTGCCAACTCTACAGATTTTTCCATTAAGACTACGGCAATTTTTCATCGTCTATGGAACTAAGGACTTTGAGTTGAAATGTACGGAATTTGATTTCCATATTTTTTGTACTTCACAGTCCTTTCAGAATAATTCGATTTTGAAAAACTTAACAAAATAATTTTTTATCATGAGTGTGAACTTAGCCGACAACCAACAATCGAAAATTTTAACAATCGAATTAATTTTTTTAACTATCCACAAATATTTAAGTGTTAGTTATTTTATTCGTTTTTTACTAAAAATAACTTAATTAAAAGAAAATAATAATTTTTTAATCTATTTTTATGGTACTTCATTCTTATATGTGCATCTTTCACTATTATACTACAATTGAACTTACAAGAATTTAAATGCCAAAAAAAAAAATTGATCTATTCTACGACAAAAACAGAAATCTTTGATTCTCTTAAGCAGTATGCAGATCGACGGATATTTTTTTAAATAGTATCTGCAGATTTCTATGGAAACTTTTATACCAATCTATGGATTTGGAAAAATTCGAGTTGGTAACACTGTAGGTCACCCTAAAAATTTTGGTGAGCTCCAAAGATCATGATTGCAGAAATGGTTGATGGCAGAAATAGGCAAGAGGTGATACCAACCTAAACTAGGAAGACAAGGAGCTCTACCACCTTGTATATTAACTACTAAGTTCTAATCAAATATATAACAAAAATATTAACAATAGCAATTTTTTATACCTTATCAGTAAGATCAATGGTTGAGTTAAATTCAAATGTGTATTGATCATCTGGTAAACTCTGTTTATTTTCAATTTCTTTCAACCAATCATCTAAATAACTTTCTCTTTTTTCTCCTTTATTTGTCCAGGGATAAAGTATTATTGTTTTAGTTTTTAAATTTAATTTATGAATATTTGTAGCTGGTACTTCTGTACAACTGTATTTTCTTCCTGAAAACAATTATTTAAATACAGGTAATAAATCACATTTTTAGTTAAATAAAAAACAACTTAAACAAAATTTACTAACACTTATTTACCCAATACGCTGCTTATTACCAATGCGTTTCTTGTTTGATGAAATAATAAAGATGTTCTGCCAATTCTGTCCCTTGTGAAATATAAATCATAGTTCACTTTATCATAATAAATTAAGCTAAATGGACCTTTAAATGACTTCAAATGATTTATTACTAGTTCCTCAGAATTTTTGACCTGAAATAGATATACCTTTATATATAGACTTCTTCTGTCCGTATGTATGTGAATAAAGTCCTAAATGGCTGAAGAGATTTTGATGAAATTTTATGTGAGTGATTAATTTGATTTGAGAAAGGTTCAGATTCACAATTGGAGCTGGGGCGAATCTCTAGTGAAGTATAATAGTATGTAATAGTATCAAGTAAAGAGAATTATATTTATAAGTAGAGAGCAAAAATGGAGTAAGTATTTTCGGCCATAGTGATAAACCATCATACTTTTACAATATTAATTTCATATTACTCAAATAGTATTTGAAATAATGACTAGGCTCTTAGTGTTTGTATAGCTTTGCCTTACAAAGTGTGATATTTATCACAAAGTAATAAGCAGTGCTTGACAATAGACAAATGATGACTTCATTAAAGTTTTAACTTACTAAAAAAATATAAGCCATACAGTACCAGTAGTTGCATAAGATGTGTAACATCTGACATCTGATAATGATCAATGTTATATTTTGAAAAAGTTCTTTATTTCCTTTTCTCTTTTTCGTCACACATGCACAGACGGCTGACAGTACCAACCTATCAGAAATCTCAATCATCTCCTATATACATCCTTGATTAAGAATCAAGATGCGTTGTCATCTCTAAGGACTAAGATGGAATGCCTCATTTCCAGTAAAAAGGACATCCAGTTCTTTACATTCACCACAAGAAACACGGCAGCATTAAGCACTATTTTACATTGGTATTCTGTGAGAGCGTAGGGTACGACTTTCCATTGACGTCCGTCGAGTTTGGTGTTGATACGTATTTTTACAGAAAGATTACATTTTTATAAGCACACACACAAAGTTTCAATATGCGGATACATGTACTTTTTGAGAGAAAAGTATTGAAAATCAAATATTTTTGCAATATTTATGTCAATTCCTACCTACTATGAAACTAACGCCATTTTTTATTATTATTGTCAGTAGGGATGTCGATTCTTTCTGAAAAGGATCGAGCTTTTAAATAGATTCGAATTGTAAGCTGATGTATCGATTCCCAAAAAATCGATTTCTAAAATATCTATATTTTTGTAATGTTTCTATTTATAATGTAAATATAAATCCATTTTATGAGAAAAAATTCCCTTCGTCATAAAAAATAAGGGGACTGATTCAGAAGGATTTCTGTATCTATTTTGAGACTGCTACGTCTCCGGCGCTGCGGGAAGAGAGCCTACGCGCCTCCGGCTCTATAAAACCACTCTAGGGGTAGGACAGACTCGTACCAGGTGGAGTCGGGGTCAATCAATTCGGTTCTTTGACATAAGCTGAACCTAACCTATTTTATTTATCTGCCCTAATAGGTACTGTTAAATAAAACAAATTTCAATAAGAGATCATTTATCATGGTATCTTTCTTGTTTTTCATAAAATGGGTTTATATTTACATTATAAATAGAAACATTAAAAAAATATAGATATTTTAGAAATCGATTTTTTGTGAACCGATACATCAGCTTACGATTTGAATCGATTTAAAAATCGACCTTTTTCGGAAAGAATCGACATCCCTATTGACGTCGACAATGACATTACAAAATGGCGCCAGTTATACCGTAGGATTAGACATAAACATTGCAAGAATAATTTTTATTTTCTTGTTTTAAAAAACATTTAAAAAAAAATTGATTTTCAATAATTCTTTTCTCAAAAATTACGCGTTTCCGCATGTTGAAACTTTGTGTGTGTGTGCTTATAATAGTGTAACTTTTCTGTAAAAATGCATATCAACACCAAACTCGACGGACGTCAATGGAAAGCTAAGCCGAGCGTAGTCCTACCTTGGTCAAGCTAACCCATTAGTGCTACAACCATAATATAGCTGCAGGGTGGCTCTACCACATGTTAAATGTTCGCCTACCTGTTTGCTAAGTTTATCCATGATTAATTTTGTATCACTTAAATTTCTATCCCAAGTGTCATCAAATATATCTCCGTTGAAAAGTAAAACTCCACTATCATTTTCAACAGGCTGATCAAAAGGGCTTGATCCTTGCATCCATAGTACAGCACCACAAAAAAAAAGTCGAAGGCCATCACCTACATTCAACTCTATTTTGTGAATGCAATCTGGACCCCGGTTCTTTATTCGTTGTAATATTTGAGCATCCTGAAAAACAAAATTTTATAATTTCACTCTCATATTTTGACTACATTGAATGAATAAATGACCATTCTATACGTACGACAACTGTGCTGCATCCTGAATATCTTATTTCACATATTATTCCACACATAGTCGTTCAAAGTAAGTAATAGATAATTAATAGCACTATTATTGAATTAAGAACTAAGATTTGAGAATAAAAACATAAGTATAACCTGCAATTTTAATGTTATCTTGGTTCAGCTTCAGCATAGGCTTGGGCAAAAAATATCGATACTTTTCAATATATATCGTCGATATTTTAAATCGCGATATATCGATATTTATTTTAGAGTATCGAATTCGTATCAATTTCGATATATTTTAAAATGTTGTATTTATAACAAAACATGTAACAACAAAAGGAAGTACAAAAGTATTCATGTGTGGTTGGTTGGCATTTTTTTTTCGTCGTTCAACCGTCAGTAACATAAAGGAGATGAACTTGGTTCCATACAAGCTTGGGCCCGGCGTGAACAAAGTCTAAATATATTTTATTTTAAAGATTTAAACATTTGCTACTTACTACTAAAAATCATATTTTTGTAAGACCTGGAGTTTTGTTTTATTTTGGTTTATTATTTGTAGTCTATGTAGTAAAATCACTCGTTCTTGGAATAATTTGTTTCAATAAATTGAAAGGACACAAAAGGATACTGTTATTTAGTTATTATTAAATTAAATTAAATACAACTCAAACTTTTTAATTGTTTAATTATTTTCTGCAACTATTAATATAATGTCATCTCGAAAAGCAGGCTGAAGCTGTACATTGTCTGTTCTATTCATCTCAAAAGCCAAGTAACACATTATTGTCATTATGTCGGCGCAACAACCTACTGTCCTGTAAATCAAGAGGAAAGCGAAGGGTCAAGTTAAATAAATTCACAAAAATAAAAACACGAAATATATCCACAAACAACCACAATGCCAAATGCGTATGACCATAGATAAATATATATGTAGCAAGCTACAATATAGCTTATATGACAAGCGTATGACAAGTTTAAACTCGAAGTTACGAAGTCTCCTTCGAAACATGCAATGATCAACTACCATACAGCCTATTAAATTGTGTCCGATATTATTAAAATATTTTGTTTAGTTTAATAACGTAGCCTATTCAATCGATTTCCTAAAAGATTTCTTTTATTCTTTAAGTTATTAAGTGTCTGCGCATGTGAACTATTAGTGGAAACTGTGAAACAAGTGCTCTGATAGTGATGTGATTCTCAAAATAAGGTGCCTGTCTGCTTAGGCGCCTTGAGATACCATCGCCAACCGTCAGCTGTGTGCTGGCTCAAGTTACTGTCAAAATCTCCCAAGGGCTGCACAATGTGACGCATCAACATACTGTGAAGCAGTATACTATGAAGAATAATTATTGTAATATAATATTGTAACTTCAGGCTCAGAAGGGCTAGGTCCCAGAGCCGTAAAGCCAGTTATTAAGAAGAAGAAGGTGACATTTGACTGTCCCATGGGTACATCAAAGATTTGACAGATTAAGCCAGCATACAGCTGACAGTTGGCGATGGTATCTCAAGGCGCCTAAGCAGACAGACACCTTATCTTGATAATCATATCACCATCAGAGCACTTCTTTTACAATTTCCACTAATAGTTCACATGCGCAGACATTAGATACACAAAGTCGCACCACTTTTACCTATCAAGATCCACTTCAAACCAATATTTAAACAATAATACAGGAGCAGCAAGTTCCCGCCAAAACTCCTCAAAGTCAAAGATTGTAAGTTGAAAGTTGAAACTAAAGACAAAATAATCCTTGTTTCCTCATTAAAGATAGAGCGGCCATAATCGATAGTTTCAATATTGGCCACAATCAATTACGATTTTAGTAATCGATTATAAAAAATAACCACTGCATACATATCATGTACATTTTGCTACTATAGTGTTATAATAACAATGACGATGGTAAAGTTATTTTAGGTTATCATCAATTATTTGAATTGACTAGCAAATATTAGTTATTTTAAATAGTTGTTTAAGTGATGTATAAAATGCAAAAAAAAAACCGCTTCCTCTTATTAATGCACTTTGATTGCAGAAACAGTAACAAAAATATTTTCATATTTTAATAATTTAAGAATTGATTTGTTATACAGTTATATGCAGAACGGCCTTGATTAGTTATACTGAAAATTTCGGGTATCAAGGAAGTGACACAACATTACTATTTAAAAATGTATTTATTACTTTTCGAAGTATTCTCCACGAAATTTGACACATTTTTCCATACAATGGAACCAATAATTGAAGCAATCATTCTATTCGGAAGTTGGGCTCTCCAAAATGGCCGTTTTGTAGGCGTCCACAGCTTCTTCAGGTGATGAAAATCTCTGTCCACGCAATTTATTCTTTATTTTAGGGAAAGTATAGAAATTATTAGGGCTTAGGTCGGGGCTGTACGGCGGATGGTCTAATAATTCTATGTTTTCTTGCTCTAAAAACTTTTTTGTTCTGTGTGCGGTGTGAGAACTCGCATTGTCGTGATGGAGGATGATGCGGCGGTTGCAGTTCTCTTTACGGAGTTCAGAAACGACCTGTGGCAAACAAATGCTAGCATACCATTCTGCATTAACCGTTCTTTGTCCCTCAAGAGGAATAGTCGTAACATGGCCGGTTTTGGAGACAAACGTGGCCACCATTTTTTTTGCAACACTCCGTGAACGAACAATTTTTGTTGCCTTTAACTCATTTTCGAACACTCAAACTCATGACTGGTTTTTTTGTTTCGGGTTCGTACGCGTATATCCAGGATTCGTCACCTGATACGATGTTGTATACAGCATTTGAGGATCCTGCGTGGAATCTTTCGAGAGTTCTGACGCACCAAGTAACGCGAGCCGCTTTTTGCTCTTCACAGAGCGAATGCGGTATCCATCGGGAAAACAACTTTTTTACACCTAATTGTTCATGCAAGATTATTTGTATTGACTCATGCCAATGTCTAAAGTTGCCTGAATTTCGCGGTATGTCACATATCGATCTTTTTTTTTTTTATTTATTCATAGGACACCAGCAGTGCACACATTATTACATTTAATTGAACGTGAACTTAATCTAGGGACTGATGTGTGCACCCTTATAGGTGACACAGCATTACAAAATACTATAAAAATTAAGACAGGGCAGAGCTACAATAGCTTATAAAGAAATATGTCACAAAAAAAAAATTAAAGATAATGTATAACCAAGACAATAAAAAAAAACATGCACATAACTAAGCAGCAGCTGTAGGGAACATGGATATTAAAATTATAATTAAATTATTCACAAATTATTTATAATAGTGATCTATTACATTTTTCCTATATTTAGGGAAAGTATCATGAAAAATATCGACAATAGGCAACACACCACACAGTGAATTATAGGTGTCACACATTCGCGGTACCGGGGCGTATGATCCCATGTTAGTCCTGGATTGAGGAGTGTGTAACAGTTTTGTTATTGGACGACGAGGGATATTGTATGGTACATTTAGGGAGAAATATTGTAATAGTTCACAACAGGCAGTCTGTCCGTTTACTATTTTATATAATACCAGCAGGTCGTGAATTTTTCTCCTACTATTCAGGGAAGGTATTTCAAAAAATGCTAATTTTTGTTCGTAGGGACACCTATGTGAAATTCCACTACATATGAAAGCAAGATGTCTTGTAAAAGCTCTCTGAATACTTTCTATTCTTTGGGAGTGCACAGTGTATGTTGGGTTCCATATTGTACTCGCATATTCCAGTTGGCTCCTTACTATGGTGTTAAAAAGTAATATTTTAGTGCTTATTTGAAAGCCTCTGGTATTGCGTTTAAGGAAGCCCAGCATCTGCGCAGCTTTCTTTACAATCCTATTAATGTGAGGAACGTAGGTGAGTTTCATGTCCAACATAACACCTAGATCTCTTATTTCACCAACTTCTGTGAGCATAGTTCCTTTAAGACTATATGATGTAGTGCAAGGCTTCTTTTTCTTAGATAAATTGATATAGAAACATTTTCTCAATTAGCTTACGCACAGCATCAACGTTTTCTTGGGTGACTGCAGTTTTTGGACGACCTTGACGGGGATCATCACTGAGCTTGACACGTCCACGTTGAAATTCAGCAAACCAGCGATAAATTGTGGTTTTGGATGGGGCTTCATCACCAAATGCAGAAATCATCCGGTCAACACACTGTTTTTGTGTTAAACCACTTCGAAAGTCATAATAAATCATCGCTCTTGAATTTTCTCGAGTCAATTCCATTTTCTCAACGACTAAACAAGTTTGACAAAACCTTGTGACAAGACCGAGAATCTTTTTTTAAATAAATAAATGGTATTCGATTTTTAAAACCAAGGAGTGTTCAATTAAAAAAGTTTTAATATGACAGGAACAGTGGACATATTCCATTCCCGATACTTTTAGTGCAGCCTATGTATAAAAGTACTTCTAAAATTGTCTCCAAATAAAACGTTTTGTAACGTCAATACTGTTTTCGTCTTGTTATAAGTATCATTATCATCATTACAGCCTTTCACAAGTCCACTGCTGAACATAGGCCTCCCCCAAGGAATGTCACAAAGCACGGTCCCGAGCCACCTGCATCGATTGACTTCCTGCATGTCTTAACAGGTCGTCACTCCATCTACATCCACTTCGCCTGCCGGTACAAGGCTGTCTCTCGAGAACCTTTCTCCTCCATCGGTTGACGGTTCTTCAAGTTATATGGCCGGCCAATTGCCACTTCAGCATACTAATTACTACTTATAACTAAGAATTAACTGTAAGTTTACCACGTTATTTTGAAATTCTAAATAAACCATTTAATTCTTATCGCTCTTTTGATTTTGCGTAGCAGCTACTTCAAAAATGTATGAACTCATGTGATGTGACAAAATATCTGTGGTCTTTTTTGTTTAAGTGGACTGCAGGTGTCCATGGACTGCAGTTGCCACTTACCTAATAATATAATCGGGAGCCACTTACCATTACGTGGATTTAGTTTGTTTGTCAATAAAGTTTTATAAGAAAGTTTTTCTTCAGTTTTTTTTACTCCTTTTGAAAAGTAAGATGCAAGACA